CTAAGAATATTTAACTCAGATAGAATCAGCAAAATTAAACAGTTTGTATTTTGTAGATTATACTTGTACATGTAGTCATTTTTATCACAACAGTAGAGATGCTACACAAAATGGACTCAACTATTTTATTTCACTTCTATATGTGCACATTCCACTTATACTCTTTAACTGATTGATGCGTAAAGAAGGACTGAAATGTACAGGGTCTGTGGTTTTACCCCATCTGCCCGCTTCCCTTTATGCTCTCATTTTTATGTATAGTGGTTGTCTAATCCAGGGAAGTAACATGAATAAGAAATGATACACTAGGTTCCTTAGTCATTTGTTGCTGCTTTTCCTTTATTTGAAAGAAGTCCTGGTGGCTAGTTCACTGGACAAAAAGTTCATGAAAATTAAAATATAAATGGTAGTTTTCCATGAACTTTTTGAAGCTTCTTTGCACATATGTGTATATTGTATTATCATGTATGTGCTTCATTGCCCCATCATGTTTCATTGAACAAATACAAGTTCAAACATAAAATTAATACGAATTTCAAGACAGTGATGTTGTTGTTAAGTGCTGTCCGACTCATAACAACCCTGTATAGGGTTTCTGAGGAGGGGCTGGTGAGCTTGAACTGCCGACCTTGTGGTTCAAACTGACTTTGCAGTCCAGCGCATTAACCCACAGCACCACACCAGGACCCCAAGACAGTGATAGTAGAGCATTAAACCAAGAATGTGATCCTTTGAGCACAGAGCCTAGCGACGCCTGCCTTTCTAGTTCCCAAAGTCCACCATTGAAAGCCCTGTGGAACAGCACTAGTAAGGACACTATGAGTCAGAGTTGACTTGATGACCGCAGTATTTTTCATCATTTTGTAAACTGATATCTCCCTAAATTAACATCGTTATTCTCTTAATTGGAGGAATGTGTTTGAATTTCATAAATGTATACAGCATATGTTGCATTTGAGCCCCAGTGTGGCACTGTAAGATAAGCACTGGATTACTAACCACAAGTTCAAGGTGCAAACCTATCAGCTGCTTCTTGGAAGTCCTATATAGGGTCACTATAAGTCGGAACCAACTCCACAGCACTTAACAACAGCAACAACGTATTATACAATATGCATAGTGTGTATTTGTCTAACATGTTGACTCCTGACCAGAAACTGTAACTTTTAGGTGAGTAGAGTCTCTAGTTCTCTTATTCCTCATTGTATCCTTTGATGTCTCACAAGTGATTGATAAATATTTGTTTAATAAGTAAATGGAGACCTATATTCCAGAATATATTTTCACAATGAAAATTTCTATGCAGCCATGGAATTTCTTTTATGCAAAAATTGATGTCCCAGTGTGACCCTGTAGTATAAGCACTGAACTTATTGGGTATTCAAACTCACCAGCTGCTCCTTGGAAATGCTATGTAGGGTCAATGTGAGTCTGAACCAACTCGACAGCACTTAACAACAGTAAAATAATAAGTATGCTTAGTATTATTCTTTATTATATGTGGACATACACCTTTGATCTGATCACTCCTGTTTTAAGTAGGTGGAAATTCTGACTGACTTATGTATTAAGTTGTTCCCTAAGCGCTATGTTTGTCTTTATCAAGTATCTGTCCATCGTCAATTCATCCTTTGTTTTTTCCTTATTAGATGTCACAGTTTTTAAATATAGTATACTTCATTGGTATAAGCTTCAGTTTATACCCACAGTGTTTGCAAATAGAATGCCTTTGTAGTATGAATATTTGAAATGATGTTTGGACATTTGTAACAGATAATTGCTAGAAAAGTAAATTGTCATCTTTATTTTCTTTCGGAAGAGTAGATGAGAAAGGGAAAGCCGCTGAGATGTGTATAATTCTTTATTGTTTACAAAGGATTTTCATGTATATTCTCTAATTCAGTTCAATGTTATTAATAGTAATAGCTAACACTTACTGAATAAATTACTTTGTGCCAGGTTCTGTGCTTGTATTGCCTTCATAGGCTTACACAGCAACCACGTGGCAAAGCTTTAGTGCTCCTAACTGTTACTGTTCTGCTGTTAT